CATATCGGATACTCATTTGATTCAAATCCACAGTATAAGATATGTATGAGATCAAAGACGATTTTTATCTTTTCAACAAATCTTTATACATATCATAAATATCCATTGCATCAATAATATCAAAACAAATATCAATGGTTCATTTCATTGATCAATCTCATCAATTCATATATCAATGGTTTATTCCATTGATCAATCCCATACCACACATCAATGATCTATTCCATAGATCCATCTCATTAAATCACACATCAATGGTCCGTTTCATTAATCAATATATTACTCAATATCAAACCATGATCACGATACTACGCTTGGTGACAAGTCAACCAAGATTCTCCCATTGTCAATGTCTCTACCTATTATCAGTTGGTAGCTCGACCCAGAAGCATATCCTCAAACCAATATGCACATCGAAAAACTCCTAACCGGGTTTACAGTGATATTGAGCATGAACCATCATCCTTCAATATCATAAATCCGATCCATAATCAATCTTATAATCATAATACATTTTTACAAACCAAAATATCCTTTCACAAATCAATTATTTCCACAAAACCAATCCAAATCTGTATCATAAATCATTTTCACAATAGCAAACATATACTTTTTCACAGCATAATACCTTTCATAAATTAGATTCACAAATCAATAAAGATAACATTTTTGCAATCCCTTTCATAAAACATTTCTCAAACCATTTCACAACAATCAACTCATATATCATTTCCAATAATATTTCCTATGCCATTTCAAGTAATTAAAAGGGTAGTAAATGTCTCATCTAGATTTTACACAACAAACAAGATCTTTCATAACTCATATTATATCGAATTTCTGTTGTTTTCAAGACATGAGTTTAGAAGGTCATAGAAGATATGGTACCACTCACCTAGGAAATGCCTAAGACCAAAAAACTAAATTTACTCGAATTGTCAAACTTGCAATCCTAGCAAATAAGTGAGAAACAACGTCGAAATTGAGTAAAACGCTATCTCAACTACGAATCGGCTAAATTGAGCTAAATCGCTAACAAAATGTCTTCTATGCGTCAACAAATCGCTCGCCCAAAGCGATTATTCTAAGTTATCCACAACGTGGAGCTTGCGCGTCAAACTTGGTTATGCCACAACTCTCTCCACTGAACTCCATTTCAAGCGAGCTTACTGTCAAAATAATGCTCTTTCGAAGTACTAGAAAACCCATAGCCATAGCTTGTTTGACCCAAAATTGGGCTAAAACTCGATAAAAATTGGCACGGAAAGCGGCTAATTATTATTGTACAATACACACGTGTAATTTCAAAAATTCATTTTAGGCAAACCGTAAGTTAAAGTCGAGTTTTGTAAAATCCTACAGTTCTACAACACCCTAAATTTCAATCGCCTATAATTTATCAACTAAACAATTCCTAAATCAGACATTGCAATTCAAATTTCACATAACTTCGAATTTGTGCGCTAACTCGAAAATTCATCTAATTACTCTGATTAGATGAATAAAGGGTTAAATCCTTACCGAGCGATGCGAAACGCAGTTAATTTGGCTTGTCAAGGTCTCCGTGGCATATCACGAGAAACTCTTACTTTTCTTCTTTTTGTCCTTTCTCTCCTTCATTTTCTTTCTTCTTTTTCCTCTGTACGTGCACCTTTTCTTTTATAGCTCTTCTTTTTCTTATCATTTCCTATTATTTTTATAATCCCACCTCTTTTGACCAAGTTAAAAAAAAAAACCAATATTACAGTAGGAGGATGAGAAAATTGTACATCACTCTTTCAAGGACTTCTTAGAAGATACGAGTATCATGAGATGTTCCCTCCCTATCAACCCAAACATAAATAAAGTCTATGTTAAAATTGCACACAGTCAATACATTTTGAGTCGTTGTTCCTTTTCAATCAATAAAACAAATTTGATTGTGTGTAGGTACCACCGTTGGGATATGTGTAATATCTATAGCTTTAATGCAATCTTAAAACAAAAAACGCAAATATTACTTGATTTATATATAGTTCTTCCTTTTTATTGTGTTATTATAACTAATCTTAATATATAAATAAAATTTTTTATTATTCTTGATCTTCTCTATCCCTAAATTGTCGATCGGATGGTTGGATCAAATATTTTCCCATTTCTCATTCTTTATCCAAAACATGCTTAATAGCATGATTATGATTTCCCCAGAGTATTAAAAGTGCTCTTGTACTAACCCGTTGCCTATACCATGTCCTAAAATGTGAAGAAACTTTTGAAGCATTTTTGCAACATCAATTGAATACAAACCTATTTATTCTTAATCGTGTTACTAAATCATGCATTGAATTATTAAATACAATCCTATCCATTCTAAACATTTTATAGCACCTTCTCTGATTAGCATCTTCGCCCATCAATTCTCTTAATCATGCATTTCCAATATATGATGAGACATGTAAGGTTTATTGTTAATGTATTTTTCCTGATAAATAATTGCTGCTTGAGCGTCTAAGACAAGTTGCCAAAATTCATCTTCGTTGTTTTCATGGTTTTCGTTTTGAAGAGAATCATCCATAACTGGTTAAAGTAGCAAAATATAGAGTTCGAGTAAGAGAAGTAATGAATAAGCTTTATCGTCCATGAGAGAAAAATTATCAGTCATCATCAATATGGAAACTTCACTCGATAAAGAGAATACCAACTTGAAACAGGTCTCATAGTAGAACATAAATAGAAATAGAGTTCACAACTAGTGCAAATAGAGTATAAATAAGTAGCGTAAATAGGTCTCACATTAAAACGATATAGCATACCAAAGAGTTCAAATAAGTTGCTTACATCCTAGTGGTGACTGAGCTTTTCAAATATATACTTGAGCCACATGATTTTTACATCATTGCCAATCAAAGTTATGAAGATCTACCTATTGTCTTTCTTTTCTGCAAAATGAAAGAGTGCAAAAAAGAATAACTTTTGTTCTTGCGCAATCTTAAATATGACATTCAATATCTCTATGATTTCCTCGTACATATCAAACTCCTTTGCAAGAGATATGGCAGTGCTCCTTTGTTTGATAGCCAAACAAATTCTATCAATATGTGTTCTAAAATCTCTAAGCTTAGGATTGGCTTGTTATAAAAGAACATTTTTCATGAGTTGTATCATAGAAGATGAACTTTAAAAAAAGTAACAAAAGAAGGGATAAAAACCTGAATTTTCCTCTTTCACTATTCATCACTCGCATCAATGGTTTTCTTCTTCGGATTTCATCTTAGTCTTATTTCCTTGTGAAGCAATTGCTTCCATTTTTTTCCATTCTTCCTTAAGATTATCCCACTTACTCTTCATTTGATTTTGTAATACTTATAGCCCCTTAGCTCCCCAAATTTATTAATTATAGCTATCCATCCATCTCTTTTGTTGTTTGCACAACGATTGTCTATCTCAATTTGTTCAACTTACAAAAAGTTTCTATATCTTTCAGGCTCTAATATGCCTTTTTCATTGATGAACTTGCCATTTTCTAGTAAAATGGCAATGAATAAATTTGAGAGACACAAACAAATAAGATTAACTATGACCCAATTTCATAAACATGAGTGAGCATATGCATATACATATGTACGTCAGTTTCATAAGATATAGCAACAATCAAGTTCTATGATGTGCAGTCGTTGGCAGACAGCAATCATAACGGTGGTTATGTACAATAATTTATCTACAATTATTTCAAGTCAACCATTGAAATCAATACTCAAAAGGGTCAAAGTCATTCATGTACGACAATTTCTGCTGTGTAAAAATAACAAATCATTTCCTCTACCTATTCATCTCTTTCTTACTGCAACCACCGACACAAACTATAATCCATGGTCATCATACTAACCTTCCATCACCAGCCTTAGTAAAGCCAGAAATTTATTCACCCTTCCCTTCATAGTCAATGCTTCCATAATATATCATCACAGATTTGTCCACTTCACCCGCAGGCTACAATAAAATATTCCATAATCTAGATGTTACAGTCATGTCGATAGGCAAATTCATATTTGTTCAGACTAACTGAAAGTGCAATGATTGATAAAATGGAACCTCCTTCCCTAAGAGAGAGAGAGAGAGAGAGAGAGAGAGATAGAGGCGAGTAAGAGAGAGTGGAGCGACTGGATCTGAAGAGACGCGAGCGACTGGTTTGAGTGAAGAGGGCGAGCACCGATTGGCCAGAGCGAAGAGAGAGAGAGAGGGGTAAATTTAGGGTTTTATTTTTTAAAAAGGGGCAAACTTGAAATTTTAGTAAGTTTTTTTGGGCAAGAAAGGCAACGGACAAAATTTCATTAACCATGGAAGTTGTCTTCCGAAAATGCTGAAAGCCCAAGGCAAGTGCCTTGAGCTTTCGGCTTTGCCAAGGCTAGCTTTCACTCAAAACTCTTAAAAAAAATTTTTTTATCAAACACCCCCACTTTTTCCCCAGGGACTTTAGAGCCCAAAGTCTCTTCGAAAAGTCGAACCAAATGCACCCATAAACTATTGTATGTAATAACCTAATCAAATTCTTGTAGACCCGGTTTCAACCCGTAACCTTTCAACCGACTCTACCAAATCTTGGTATTATCAAACGCATAGCCAATGGTCAACGATCTTATTAGACTTGGAGTATGATTTCGAGAACCTTGATTCTCATATTTGCTAATCGGCCTAGTAGTGATTGTGTAAATCTTCTATAGCTTATCCAAGTAAAGGATTTAATGAACATCCTTCAATTTTCCTCGTGTGTAGCATTTCACTGTAGACCTTTGTGTTGATTCGGCCGAAACGAACCCGAAATGCAGAGGAAGAAATCCAAGCCCACCTCTTCCTGTTCATGCGATTTACAATTGAATGCTCTTGTTCTTCAGCCCGTCCAAATTGTCTGATCCATAAAGCCTGCAACCAGGATGGGCTTACTGGGCTTATGGCTCTACAGTGGGGACGGGCTCCTGTTCTTTGAAATGATAGATAGCGACCCTCGTTTTTCTTGTTTATCGCATGGACGGACTTCGCAAAGACTTTACTCCGTGGGGGAGGAAAACGAGTCAACCGAGAGCGACACCCTCTTCTTTGTTTCGTGTTCTCTCGAATTGAGACAATTGGGTCTTGGGCAGAACTCCAGAAGGGCCATGGAGTCAACCATCTTCCTCCCCGCATGAGCTATCTGGAATTCCACCCATGAGCTGAGAAGCAGTACCAGGTTCTGGTTCTGGAATTCCACCCTTTTCATGATTTGATGTTTCGCTCTTTCGGGTATCCGTTTTATTACGTCGTCTTTGCATGCTTTGATCGAATATTCTGCATGAGGGTCTGCTGAATTTTCGCACTTTTCGGATGATCGATGATTGGAGCTTATTGTGGGGTGATGTTTTTCGTTCTTTCTGTACCTTTTGTTCGTCTTCGTGATGGTTTCGGTCTCGGACCTGGCATTGATTTATGTTGGATCTTAATTATCTTGAGTTGTCCCCATCATGTGAGTACTGCTGTTATACTGTGAAGCTGTTGAATTGAGATTGCAGTCTCCGCTATGTTCTGTTCAAGCATGATTCTGATTACCCACTGATTGGAAATCCCTAATTTGTTCAGTTAGTTTAGTGAGCTGCGCCGAATAAGCTGCCTTTTGTACAATTCAATTCGAGATTTTGATGAGTTAAAAAGTGGTTATAGACTATTACTAGTAAATGTACCGGCGTGATGCTGCTGAACAACACGTGTTTTTATCTATTCTTTGTTCATAAATTTTGCCGTCAACGTAGACAAGACACTTCCTCCATAAAACCGGAGCTCATTAATATGAGTTGCTACAACTGATACAGAATTTAAAGATTTCAAAACATAATTATCTATGTGGGGTACTCTCTCCCACTCTCTCTCTCTCTCTCTGGGATTTGGGTCACCAGCAGATTATCGATGAGTGAAACAAACATTTCAGTGAAGGACAAAAAATATATGAAGTATGATCCACATCTGTAAAAAATTACACTTAGAGCGATGGAGAGCACGTAGCAATGTCATCCCTCAGGCACAGCTTGACTACTCTCAGGCAACTTATCAAACAATTCCTCTACCATCATTAGCAAAACGAAAGTATTCATACATATGATCCGAAAAGATACATAGCCATGGGATTACAGGTGGAGTCAAAAAAGAAAGGGACAATTTATGACAGAACTATCATCGTTAGACAAAATGGGAGCATTAATCAATTTACCTTAAATAGATGAAGCAGATTAAAAGAGACGGAATTCTCTCAACTCAAAGTACCACGTATGATCAGTTTCGTTATCCCCTATTTGTATACTAGCAATGCATGTGAGACGCATCATATACGTTAGGCCTGTAAGACGCCTCACTCTAAGTCAACAGCGTTCTTATCTCCTTAGGAAATTACTTTAACATCATTTACTCTTCTTATGTAAACGTCCTTTTATGAAAGCCAGTAGTGCTGGGGTCAAATTTTAATCTAACTCGGACAGAAAGCCTTACTATTGATGTCATGATTTTGAAAAATAAACACTTTTCAACTACAAGGTAAACCCATTCTTGATCGTGCCTGATTCATGTATTCACCTGATCTCACACCTGTACGTCCATCTTTAACTACTTCATGAACTGTGCCCCTCGTTTCTTTTAAAGTTTGTATATCTGTGATTTCATGTCACATTGATCGCGCTGTGCTATCCTCGTGCTGTATCAGATGCAAAATAATGCTCGCTTAAATGGTTTCCATGTGATGTGTATCTGAAACTGCAAAACCTGACAAATGACTAGTCCTCATTTGTGCAAAATCACAATGCTGAGACCCTTATTTTTTGGTAGAGATTTATGCCTATCATTCACTGCTGTAGCATCTTAATGTCGCTATTTTTTTTCTACGTAAAATTGTGAATGTTTGAGGACATGTTATCTGAGTAAATATCAGCCTCTGAATACCTCTAGGAATTATTAGTTTCCATATACTCCACTTAACATTTTGCTGTCATAATTTTCTGTCTAGGAATTAAGGAATGTTAAATGGAAAAATCCATGGGAAGCAAGGGCAAGAATCTCGCGAGATTAGTCGAAGAAAAAGCTTGTTCAAAGAAGTTGCAGCAAGAGGAAGAACAGAGGCGAATTCCTTATCTTCCAAAAGACTGCATTGCTAACATCCTCATCCGTCTCCCTCACAATTCCCTCCTCAAGTCGATGCTTGTTTGCAAGTCTTGGAGAAACATTATAAAGAGCCTCAATTTTGTTCATGACCATCTTCATCGGTCTGACACCGTCCTGATTTTTCGGTCTTGGCTTCCGAGATCTCACAATTATTACTCCAGTTTAACATCCAGACCAAATGAAAACCCAAACTCTTTCTCAATTGAAGCAAACTATATGCAATCACAGAACATTCCCATCTTAACTCGGCCTACCATCAATTATTCAAGTGCATCCTATGTCAAGTTTATGGAATTTAGCAATGGGAAGTGCGAGGAAGGAGACTACAAGATAAGCTGCTTGGGCATGATAAGAGCGACTTGCGATGGTTTAATCCTGCTAGACAACAGGATGAAGAAAGGTGGGTTAATAGTCTTGAATCCTGTGACCAGAAAGCTGGACCCGCTTCCATTAGGCACTCTCTGTCCTTCGCATAATGAATCTTATGGTTTCGCCTTGAGCAAGGTCTCTGGGGTATATAAGGTGGTGCACTTGTTCAGAGACGAGCTGGACTTCTTCCATTGTGAGATTCTTAGTCTCGGAACCAGAGTGTGGTGGCCGGTTTACGACCCGGAACCTGGGCTATTTGGTTGGCTAGGGTACAGACCAGTTTTCGCGATAGGATCTCTGCACTGGGTTCCTTTCGTTGATCACAGTGATTACATAGTGTCCATGGAATTAAACAGCCAGAAGTTTCACAAAGTATCACTCCCTACAAGTTGCACAACACATGACCGGATTCTCGAGATGCACGGTTCCTTGTGCTTCATTGCTCATGAAGAGATGACCCAGATCAACATCTGGATGTTGGAGGGATTGTCAGGACATGTGTGGAAGCAGACGTTTTCCATCACCACAGGTTGTATGTTTGACATGGTTCCGCTATTGAGTTTGAAGACGAGCGGAGACATCATTTTCGAGCGCGACGAAGATTACTCGCTGTACCGATATCATTTCGAGCTCAAAGAAATGAGGAGGATCGAGGTGCAAGAAAACTGCGCCATGTCGTCGAATTCATACTTTGCCCATGTCAATAGCTTCATCTCTTGGTGATGCCGCGGTGAAGACGCCGGCTTTGCTGCAACAAATGCGTCTCGTCAATGGAGGTCTGATATAATGCTACTACTACTTCTAGCAGCATATATGATTTGATGGGGATTGAGACCCATGTGATGGTTTGTTGATTAGAGTCATTGCTGAAGCTCATTTTGTTGTATATACATGCTTCACTAGGCCTGGTTTGGTCCACACTGAGGCATTAACTAGCCCTCAGAACTCACCAGCGTGTGCCGTCACTGTTGTGTCTTTCTTTTTGAGCGAACCTGAGTATTGTTGTAAAAATCAAACATCATTGCTTGAAACATGTCTGAAATCTGTCTGAATTGTGAACCTAAGTGATGTGAAAACCATTGATCCCGAGCTAAGAGAGAGGATGGGTTCTTTCGTTTTGGATTCTAGTGGGAAGGGAATGAGTTTCTTTCTCACTCTAAGCGAAAATCATTGGATGATTACATCTATGTATGTTGAGAAAATAGGGGAAAAAAAAATTCAAGAATTGCAACGAGTTTGTCGCGTTCGGTAGATGTTATCGCAATGTGAACATTTTCCTATTTAGATGAATGATTCGATTGTGGAACAGTTAAATGAGTCAACTCTGATTTGATCATTTAAGAAAATTCTTCGTATCAAAATTCGAAGGGAAAATTTTAAATAAGGACCCGAAATGAAATCATTTTTTAAGAAGGGCTCAGAATGAATGTTGGCTCAAATAAATACCTGAAGTGTGGTCAAATCGTCTCAAACGAGGACTTGAACTCTTAAAAATAAAAAAAAGGCTCAATTACTATTAATATGCTCTCTAACATCACACACACTCTTTCCACCATGGAGGAACACACATCATTTATCATCTCTTCTTCATCTTCTCCATGCACGGATTCCATCACAACTGCTATCTTCAGGAGCATTCGGGAGCTTCATTCCTCTGGTGGATGCTTCATCATCTTCTTCATCATTCCATTCTCTGTCTCTCTCTCCGATTCTCGACGGAGCAGCGACATCTCTCTCCGAACTAGATTTCTTCTTCTCTAGGTAAAAGAGCTCCACTGAAATCGATTTTCATCTTCATCACCGTGACCTCTGCTCTCTCCCGTCAGGCTCTCTGTTTCCTTTCATTCAACCATTTTTCTAGATTAAGGATCTTCAGATTTGGCTTTTCTTTATCATCAGCGAGCTTTTCTCTCTCCTGGATCTCTTTCCAATTGCACGAGGCTTTCTCGTGGAGGGTCTAGTCGTTGGGGTTGTGTTCGGCTCAAGTTCGTGTCAACACGACGCCCGTCTATGGTCAATTCAAAAATCTCATTGAGGTTTGTGGAAGGGAAATATTAATACCAATTGGAGCTTTTCTTATTTTATTTTATTGAAAGATCCCTTTTCCGACGGCCAGAACAATCACATGGCCTGTCGGCGAGTTCAGAACCTTATTTGAAACGATTTGACCAATTCAAAATCTCTTTGCGAGAAAATAACTCCACTTAAGGCACTTATATGAAATTTTCCTCAAATTCGAAAATGAAATAAATTTGTTTTAACTCTTAAACAAACGAAAAAAAAATAATTCCTTGCCACTTTGCTGATTAAAAACTTGGGAAAATTTCAATTAGGACCCAGTGGGTCAAATTCTCAAAAGGTCAAGTGAATATTGTGTCAATAAGGCAAAGTCTTACGGTCTCGAATAAGACTCAAGTGCCAAATGTCTCAAATAAGGACACGGGTCCGTGCAAAATACTGGTGGCAGAAATCTTGTTCAGACAGTATACTTAATTTTTATTATTTTTTTATTTTCTTTTTTTGTTTTTTGCGTTCGGTCGAGTTCAGAACCTTATTTGAAACGATTTGACCAATTCAAAATCTCTTTGCGAGAAAATAACTCCACTTAAGGCACTTATATGAAATTTTCCTCAAATTCGAAAATGAAATAAATTTGTTTTAACTCTTAAACAAATGAAAAAAAAAATAATTCCTTGCCGCTTTGCTGATTAAAAAACTTTGAATGTTCGAAATATTAGCAATATTTTGTATTAAACACGGATGAAATTGCGTGAAGTTCAAGATTGCAAAAATAAAAATAAAGAGTAAACAATTTTTGTGCTGAACAATTCATTAAAGGCGAAAACCTTATCCACTCGTCTCTCTCTCACCATTTCCACGAGCAGAGGGACACAGCAATGGCGGGCGATCCCGTCCGCTTCGGCATCATCGGGTGCGCCGGGATTGCGCGGAAGCTGTGTCGAGCCATCGCTCTCGCCCCGAACGCCACCCTCCACGCCCTCGGCAGCCGCTCCGTCGCGGAGGCCCAGTCGTTCGCCGCCGTGAACGGCCTCCCCGGCTCCGTCCGGCTGTACGGGAGCTACGGCGCCGTCCTGGACGACCCGCTCGTCGACGCCGTGTACCTCCCGCTGCCGACGAGCCTGCGCGCGGCCTGGGCGGTCGCGGCCGCGAGGAAGGGGAAGCACGTGCTCCTGGAGAAGCCGGCGGCGGCCGACGCGGCGGAGCTCGACCGGATCCTGGAGGCGTGCGGGGCGAGCGGGGTCCAGTTCATGGACGGGACCATGTGGCTGCACCATCCGAGGACGGCGAAGATGATGGAGATCGTGTCTGATCGTGGGCGGTTCGGAGAACTCAAATGGGTCAGTATCAGTACTTCGTTTCATGTGTATATCTCAAGAAATCATAGAACATGGGTTTGTTCATGAATGCAATTTTGCCTAAGTATGACCATCCAAGATGAAAATTTGTGTATCGAAAATGGTACTTTGAGATACTGGCTACTGCTGCTTAATCATAAAGTGACTTGGAAGCTCGTGACTGTGAGAACTCACAAACACCATCTGCTTTGTGTATCCCAGATCAACAGCGTCTCCACGTTTGCGCCGGATCAGGAGTTTTTCGAGGATAATATTCGGATGAAGCCTGACCTGGACTCTCTCGGCGCGCTCGGCGACTTGGGCTGGTATTGCATCGGAGCCTTTCTATGGGCCGCGGGTTACGAACTACCGTCTGCTGTGTCCGCCCTTCCTGATGTTACCCGCAACTCGGCCGGAGCCATCCTGTCGTGCTCCGCCGTGTTGTACTGGGGTTCGGCGCATGAAACGGCCGCGACGTTCCACTGCTCGTTCCTCGCCCACGTGTCCATGGATTTGGCAGTCGTCGCTTCGAATGGGTCGCTGCATCTCAAGGACTTCACGATACCGATCGAGGAGGGTTCTGCTTCGTTCGAATTCACTCCCAGTGCTAAATTCGTGGACCTCCATATAGGGTGGAGTGTGAAGCCGGAGAAGGTCCTTGTCCCCACGGAGCTTCCTCAAGAGGCCTTGATGGTTCGGGAGTTCGCGAGCCTTGTTCAGGGCATTCGGGATTCCGGGTGTTCCCCAGAGAGCAAATGGCCTGAAATCAGCAGAAAGACGCAGCTAGTCCTCGACGCAGTAAAGAAGTCCATAGATGGAGGGTGTATACTTGTTCACTTGTAATCATGTCAATGAGGATTTGCTCTTATTTGTAAGGGCCGTTTAGTAACGTTTCTATTCCTAGAAATAATTTTTATTCAAAAATAGTTTTTTCTATTTCTATTCCCTAGATAAGTTTCTGAGCAAAAAAATGCGTTTAGTAACTGTACAAAATTTTTATTCCCCGAGTAGAAAAAGATCAGAAATGCTTTTGATAGGATGCTAAAAATTTCTACTCTCAATTTTTTCATTTAATTATAAAATTATCGATATAAACTTAACAATTCATGTTTGAATAAAATTAGACTAGAAATAGAATAAGAATATATTATGATATAGAATTGGATAATCTTAATATAATTATAAAGAAAATTACGCCTTATAGACAAAGCAAATAGCGGGTGATGATCGAGGAAATTATAGTTTATGGGACTTAACAATTCATGTTTGGATAAAATTGGATCAGAAATAGAATAATACTATATTATGATATAGAATTGGATGACCTTACTACAATCATAAAAAAAAATTACTTCTTATAGACAAATTAAACATCGGATAGTGGTCGAGGAAATTGCAGTTTAGGGTGTAGAATTTTAGGATTTGGGGTTAGGTTTTAGGATTTTGGTTTTGAGGTTTAGGGTTTGGGATTTTGGGTTTTAGATTTGGATTTTATGGTTTAGGATTTGGGATTTAGGTTTTAGAGTTTTGGGTTTGGGGTTTTAGGTTTAGCGTTTTGAGTTTGGGGTTTTAGGGTTTGGGGTTTAGTGGTTTAGGGTTCAAGGATTCGGGTTTTCGGTATTGGGGTTTGGCATTTAGGGTGTAGAGTTTACAGTTTAGGATTTTTGGTTTAGGGTTCGGGGTTTTGCGGTTTAACGTTTTAGGTTTTAGAGTTTCGGGTTTGGAGTTTTGGGGTTTAGGGTTTAGCGTTTCGAGTTTTGTGTTTGAGATTTTGGGGTTTGGATTTTTGGATTTAGGATTTGGGGTTTAGAGTTTAGAGTTTAGGATTTCGGGTTTTTTATTTTACCGTTATGGGTTTTAGGGTTTGGATATTGAGGTTTAAGATTTTGGGGTTTTGGATTTGAGAGTTAAGGTTTAGGATTTTGGGGTTTAGGGTTTGAAGGTTAAGGTTTGGGGTTTTAGGATTTAGGATTTGGGATTTTAGGGTTTAGTATGAGAATATCTTGTGAAAGAGGGAGAGTTGATCTTGTTTCTCTATTGTTTCTTTTTTTTTTGTTCCAGAAACAAAAAATTAGATTTTTTTTACTTCTTATTTCTGTTCCAAATCTATTCCTTGACCATTTTTCTATTTCGGAGAACAAAAAAACTAACTGACGTTACTAAACGGATTTCTGTTCTTTTTCTGTTCCGGGGAATAAAAAAATAGAAAAACAGAGAAACAGAAACGTTACTAAACATACCCTAAGAGTCTCAGTCAGTGTATGCGTAAATAGCAGCTATTCAGTTCTCATTGTGCGTTTATTGCGCTCAAATCATTCTCGAGACTGATGCACTAATGTTTTAGTTTTCATGCTTCAGCTTATGCGAAAATGCATTTTCATCTGTATCTAATTCTCTGAAATTTCATAAATTGGTGCGAGAAAGAGTTTCTTCTCTCTCATATGGGTAGGTTTAGTTCATTTCATCGACAACTTCATGGGTTGACTAGTCCCATTACAAGCCAAAAAGGCCAATGGGTGCACACTCATGACAAACCTTCGACATATGAAACAGAGCAAAGAGAAAAATACCCTCGCAACTGCTTATCAGCATAACAGACACCAAGTACGGCTACGACAGAGTCAAGTAACTTTCTATAGAGCTAGTTCAATCTTCTGAGCTAGCTCATGGAAACTAGCTTTACTGAGCAATGGAGATTTGCTCCAGCAGAGCCAGTTCAACTTTTGAGGCCAGTTCAACCTTCTAAATTTCCGTCGTCGCACGAGGGACGTATCGACTATCAACTTGTTAAATGCGGAAGCGCTTGTCATAGACCAACACACCAGACAGTAAAAAAGAAGATAACAGGTGATGACCATTTGCCAGTGCCACAAAATCGTTGTAGAAACCTCAGTTTTTCACACACAACCTTAGTCCGCCCAATTCATTCCCTGATTATGTTCTACTCCACTTCCTTCTCACCCGCCGTTGCCTTGCCAACTACCATAACCGCCACTTCAAATCCCAAGACCATCAACCCCGGCAAGCCCTTCAATTCAACCCTCAGATCTCTCTGCAGATCAGGCAGGCTAGAAGAGGCTGTTCGCTTGATCGAATCTGCGCCGTCGAAATTCGAGGATCCCCAGTCGTATTCCCTCGTCCTCCATAGTTGCATCTCCAGTAAATCCTTAGAACATGGCCAGAGACTATATCTACAATTATTACTATGTAAGGATAGAGGCAATGATACTCTACTGGATGATCAGACCGTGAGAGCCAAGCTCGTTACCCTTTACTCGGTCTGTGGCCGAGTCGACGAGGCGCGGCGAATTTTCAAAGATGGCCTTGACAGTGGACTTGTCTCTGAATCCATGTGGGTGGCAATGGCTGTTGGGTGCTCCAAAAATAAGTGCTCCAAAGAGGCCTTGTTCCTGTACCGTGACATGTTGTGGCAGTGCGTTGTGCCAAGCAAGTTTGCCTTGTCAATGGCCTTAAAGGCAAGTGCAGATTTGACCGATTTATGGGTTGGTAAAGCGGTGCATGCCCAGGTGGTGAAGTCTGGTGAAGACCCAGATCAAGCTGTTTACAATGCTCTTCTGAACTTATATGGAGAGTGTGGATGTTTGGAGGAAGCATTGAGGGTGTTTGAGAAAATGCCCGAGAAGAATGTAATTTCTTGGAACTCGTTGGTTGCTGCTTTCGTTGAGCAAAATCAGGTGATTGAAGCATTGGGCATTTTCAGGAGAATGCAGAGAGATAGAATATTGTTCAGTTGGGTCACGTTGACGACAATCTTAGCCGCTTGTGCAGCGGCAACGGCACTTCATAGCGGGAAGGAAGTACATGTGCAGATTGTGAAATCAAAAGCAAGACCAGACATTTTGGTACTTAATTCGCTCATGGATATGTATGCTAAGTGTGGCGTCGCGGATTATTGCAAGAAAGTGTTCGATCAAATGCAGGAAAAAGATTTGACGACTTGGAACACATTGCTGAATAGTTATGCAGTAAATGGATCTATGGATGAAACGGTCAAGCTATTTGATGCAATGACCAAGTCCGGTATCAGACCTGATGTGGTCACTTTTGTCACTCTATTGTCTGGTTGCAGCCACACCGGGCTTACTGATGAGGGAGGGAGACTCTTTGATCAAATGGAGGATTTCAAGATCTCGCCAACTTCAGAGCATTACGCTTGTTTGGTGGATATGTTAGGAAGAGCCGGAAAAATCGAGGAGGCACTGAAAGTTGCAGAAAACATGCCGATGAAGCCAAGCGGCAGCGTCTGGGGGTCTCTTCTGAACTCCTGTCGCCTCCACGGAAATGTGGCCGTTGCAGAGAAGATAGCAAGCCATCTCTTTGAGCTTGAACCGAACAATTCTGGGAACTATGTGATCCTTTCCAACATTTACGCAAATGCAGGAATGTGGGACCATGTTGAAGTGGTCAGGGGGTCGATGGAAAAGAGAGGGATAAGGAAGGAGGCTGGTTGCAGTTGGATACAAATAAAGAACAGAATACATACTTTCGTAGCCGGAGGGCGTGTTGATTTCCGGAACTCTTTGGAATATAGAAACTTATGGAGTGATCTGATGGAAGCTATGGAAGAAGCGGGATACGTGCCTGATACTAGAGCGGTTCTTCACAACGTGGATGAAGAAATGAAGACGAGTTGGGTTTGTGGGCATAGCGAGAGACTGGCGACTATGTTTGCTCTCATCCACACAGGTGCCGGGACTCCAATAAGGATTACAAAGAATCTTCGTGTCTGTGTGGATTGTCATTCTTGGATGAAGTTTGTGTCGAGAGTTTCGAGCCGAGAAATTACATTGAGAGATACGAATCGGTTTCACCATTTCAAAGGAGGTACATGCTCTTGTAAGGATTATTGGTAGTTTAGTATAAGTAAATTGTTATAATACAGATGAACTTACGCGAGTTCATTGAGCAAGCATATGAAATTGCATTGAAAAAAAGCAATGACAAACTTTCAATTGAATGTGAATTTCTGCCAATTGCCTTGAAGCCTCTGTGATGTTTACACTCTGGATATGTTAAGAATTTTGAAGTCAAAACGATATGTATGTTAAAAAAGCTACAACTTGACCAGAAAACTTCAGTCTAACCAAGTCAACCAAAATAAAAAGAGACATGATCAATAAGGAAGCCGACGGCGGAGATTATATCTTCTTGTGCAAATGTTGGTCATGATCGAATTCTCTCCGACCTCCTCGGGTGGCAAGAAGTCTGGGTCCTCATTGATATCTGCCTCTTCCGGTAGCTCAGTATCCATCCACGACAACCAGTTTACATCACTATCCAGGTCCTCAGAGAGCTTGTTCTCCCTTTGTAAGCTATTCACCTTCTCAACCAAGGCTAATAGCATTCGATGATTCAAAACTTCATAATCCCTGCAATCACACAGCTACCAAATTAAGTAATTAAACTAGACCGTTCGTGCCAGTTCCAAAAGTATTCTTCTATGTACTCACCTGTATGTAAAAATTGCATACAGAAGCTGGGCTAAAGCGGCGAGGGCAAAGAAAGATCTAAAAAAGTTTATGATCCATGCCTGTTCTTCAAAACCCATTGTCATGAATCGAAGAATAAATACTTCGATAACAAAAGTTATGCACAAACCTGCAAAGACGCACAGTGTTTGATTCAGTCAAACTGGCATTATTCAAAGCTACTTTGCAATTTACAGTCATAAAATGACTGGAGAAAAGAAACACTCACCGATATAGAGCCAGGGCCTCACGGTGTATGTTTGCTTGGTGCTGGTGAACATATAGATAATAAAGATCGATAGAGAATACAGGAAGAAAGCCTTTATTATCCGTGATTCGAGCAGCATCGCATTGTGCAAAGCAAATAGCTTGTCGAGGGCCACAAA